TTCTTCACACACCACAGCACCATCCCTCCCCTGCTACTCCCCACAAGCCTTTGATGTGTTATAGGGGGCTAAATCTCAAAGTGCATCCCTTCAGCATCACGCACGGCATGATTAAGTTGTCTTTCTCAAATATGTGCAGATCTGCTGTGAGAACATTCACAAGAACACACACACACACGCAGAGTGCTCGTGCTCAGAGCTGCAGGGATCTGCTCGTGGATCCAGCCGTCACCCTCTCTCTTTAACACCCGGCTCCGGAGTCATCCTGGTGGGAGAAGGGTCAGGCAATTAAACTGTTCCCTGGCTCCCCTGCCACTCCTTCATCCTTTTATCCCCGCAGCCCCTCCAGCAACACATCCTCCTGCATCACTCGTCCACAAGGAAACGCTACAGATCATACAGAGATCACACAGCCGAGCCAAAATAACCGCCTTTCAACTCTCAGCTCGGTGCATCTGCTCTTTCATGCACACACAGCCCAACAAACACAGGATCATGGGAGAGGCTGTTATTATTTATGCACAGCCTGAATGCAATCTTAAACAGGTGAATAAGCGAGTAGAAGATGCTGTGAAGCAGTGAAATATTTCCAACTAGGCTGTAAACAATGCAGCATGAGAACGCTGGAGGCCCTGAGAGGGCGAGGAAAACCCGGCCTTTACGTGAGCTATTTTTATATCTGTGCTACTGTTGTTTACCCGCTGAACTGAGCTGACGTGAGACTGTATATATCTGTGCGCGCGCCGGACAAAAGGTGACGCAGACGGCGGCACGAGTCCATCCCCCCTTTCAGCGCGTCGCTTTTTATCACGTCAGTGCTACTGTGACCCACTTCCAGCAGCCACTCCCCTCCTTACCTCCACTCCCACTTTTCCCTCCATTTTACTACATCCCATTACTTTAACGACTTTCTCCATTACAGCTCTTTTGCTGCTCTGAAAGAAAAAAAAAGAGGCAGTTTTGAAGAGACTGACCTGATATTATGTCACAACAATAAAAACACATATGAGGCCGTTAATCTGACTGAAAATAGAGTTACAAAAAGTTGTTGTGACCCCGTTTTAAAAGGGTCTGGGCTCCACTAGCTCCCGTTTGGTTGCTACAAGGCTCCAAGCAGCCTATGCCCATCTGTCTGTAACAGCCCATCTTGCTGTCTTTGCTGCACGCCTCTAGCAGACAAAAATATCTGCGAGCCAAATCACAAGTGAAACAAGTGTGGAATTTAATACTGCACAAGACAGTGTATGTGTTATAGCAGCGGTCCCCAACCTTT